ATCAAAAAGTGGGCAAAGGATATGAACAGACATTTCTCAAAAGAAGACATTCATACAGCCAACAGACACATGAAAAAATGTTCATCATCACTGGCCATCAGAGAAATGCAAATCGGAACTAACTTTCATATTAACAAAAAGCTCAGTAATTTCATGCTGTGAGAGATGAACCAGCTGTGCTCCCCAGATAGCTAACATCTATTTCACCCACTTCTTATTTTCAACAGGTAGGTCCCATCCATCCCCATGAGACCATACAGTTTGGATATTCTGAATCTGAAACATGTTTTCATACTTTCAATATTTAGTTTCTCCTACCTGCTAGGTTTAACTATTATCAGAGCATTACAGTTAAGTCTTAGCTTGAGGTCCCCAGATTACCCCCCATCATACCGCATCTCAGGAGTAATTTCTGCTATTCAAAGCAGTGCTTTTGACATTGTGGCCAGAGGAGAGCCTTACATCCATGTGGATTAGCCAACTGCAATCCTTCCAGGCCTTGGGAACATATACTTGGTACTGTTTTGTGAACTGTCTCCTGAGCCTGCTGGAGGGATAAACTGTAGCTGCTCACCGAGCTGCTGAGAAGAGCATCAATCTTTTCCTCCTCTGCTGATCCTTTATCTACCTTACTCCTGTATGCTAGCAACTGTTGACGATCCTTCAGGTCCCGGCAGGTCTGTGCATCAAAACAAACAATACAAACCTCCAATCAGCCTTCTGTACAGGGTTCTTTTTGCCCAGGATGGTCTCAAACTCCTGGGCTCAAGCAATCCTCTCTCCTCAGGCTCCTGAGTAGCTGGAACTACAGGTGTGTGCTACTGTGCCCACATGAGGGCTTATTTCTTTTTGTCATTATCACTTTGACCCAAGGCTCAAAGAGAGGCTAAGAGGCTATAGTGGGATGACAGTGGGGTCCAATGCCTACAGAACTCCATGTTGGAGAGAAGACTACACAGCTTATGTAGCTTGATTTAGTTCTATGAATTCTCTAAGTATGACAAGTTTATAAAAACACAGAGAAACTAGTCAGAGGGCTGGGAAAATAATACAGGAATGCTGGTCTCCAAACGAACTCTTGCCAGATTATTCTGTTCATTCAGTCAAAACTGGTGGGAGCACCTCAGGATCTTGGACAGAGAATATTATAATCCCCACCACTGCACCCCCACCACTGAGGATCTAACGGAGGACTCCCATTTCTTGGGGACTCACATCAATGACGACATCATGGCACTTGAACTTAGTGGCTAAGTTCAACTTTGTGTCCACATCTTCCACCAGATTGACATACTCCTGTAATATCTGTGCGAAGAGGTACTTCTGATTAATGATTCAAAGACCCATAAGGCACAGAGCTATACAAGGTACAAAAGAAAGTCCTGAAGACAGCAAAAGAGTTCAACAGCAAATGTTTACAATTCCCGTCATCAACCATAGGACTAGTTCTGCAATGGGAATGAGGTAATGCTACACAGTACTTCCATGCTGCCTCAGTAAGCAGGAAAGAGCGCACTTCTCCTGATCCTAGAGCCAGATATACACGCCAGCAATGACAGTGCTCTAGATCTGATCCAGTGCTCTGCTCCTTTTTCCCTGATGTCTTTTCTCCACGAGTTCTGCTTCGCTTCTCTATCATTTGAACGGTACATCAATATTCCACTTGGGCTAACATAGTAGATGCTACTCAGAGAGGACAGTTTGGAATTGTTTCTAAAGGGGAGAAAGGGAGAGAATTTCAATCCCTGGCCTTTTCTATCTTGAGGCCTATTGCAACCATTGTGCTGCCTTTAAAGGAAAACAAGGGCAGATCGGGTTTCCCATCACTGACCAGTAAGAGGCTTAAAGTTAGGTATCCGAGAATATCCTGTACCCAACTCTCTTTAGGAACCATTACCTGCACAGGGGCATTGTTCTTGTGCAAAATTTCGACAACCCGATGGAAGCCAATGGGTGCTCTCTTCTTGGTATAGCCCAGCCAGTTCTGAAAGAGGAAGATGGGGCAGCGGTAGGTAGGCCAGGCACACTCAACACATTCTAGGCTAGTCTATGTTTTATGATCAGACCAGAATAATGTGGTGGGTGGGTGGAGGTGCTGAAGGATACAGAAATAATGAGAAATGAATTTTTCAGAAAAATCAAGCGATTTGAGAAAGTGGAAATGAATCAGGTTTGAAATAACTTCTTAGATCTATAGAAACGAATGCAGGGAAAAGTCTTGAAATACTACTAAATGGGGTAAGTAACTTACTTAATATTTGTAGTATGAACTTATCAATGTAGAAAATAATTCCATCTTCCATATCTTTATAAGTATAGATGTTTATTTGCAAATTCATGAGGGAAGGTCTAAACTTTTAACAGTGTTTGCCTTGAGAAAGGGGGTGAGATAGGAGTAGGTAGAAAATGAAAAAGGAACTTCACTCTTTCTATACTTTAATACAGTGTTTGATTTTGACAACAGACATGTATTGCTCTGTTAATACAACTAATTAAATAATTAACAAATGGGAAAAACAGAAAAAATTTCAAACCTACAATGGAAAAACAGATATTAAAAATGTAAACCAATTCATATGGAATCACCAAAGATCCCGCATAGCCAAAGCAATCAATGTTAAAGAAAAACAAAATGAAGGCCGGGTGCGGTGGTTCATGCCTGTAATCCCAGCACTTTGGGAGGCCTAGGTGGGAGGATCACTTGAGGCTAGGAGTTCGAGACCAGCCTGGCCAACACAGTGAAACCCCATCTTTACTAAAAATACAAAAATCAGCTGGGCATGGTGGCGCATGCCTTTAATCCCAGCTACTTGGGAGGCTAAGGCAGGAGATTAGCTGGAACCTAGGAGGCAGAGGTTGCAGTGAGCCGAGATTGCGCCACTTCACTCCAGCCTGGGTGACAGAGCAAGTCTCCATCTCAAAACAAAAAATAAGGGGGGTGGGTAGGGGTAGGAGGCAACATGCTTCATGATTTCAAATTATATTACAAAGTTATATATAGTAATCAAAACAGTACAGTGCTGGCATAAAAACAAACACATAGACCAGTGGAATAGAATAGAGAGCCTAGAAATAAACCCAAGCATACATGGTCAGCTAATTTTCAACAAAAGCACCAAGTGGACCCAATGGGGAAAGGATAGTCTCTTCAACAAGTGGTGCTGGGAAAACTGGATTTCCACATGTAAAACAATGAAATTAGACCTTTATCTTACACCATACACAAAAATCAACTCAAAATGGATAATAGATCTAAGCATAAGACCTGAAGCCATAAAACTCCTAGAAGAAAACATGGGAAACAGCTCCTTGACATTGGCCTTGGCAATGATTTTTTGGATATCACACCAGAGGCTCAGACTACCAAAGCAAAAAGTAAATTGGATTACATCAAACTAAAAAGCTGCACGTGGCAAAGGAAACAATCAAAATGAAAGGCAGCCTATGGGTTAGAAGAAAATATTTGTAAACCACATATCTGATAAGGGATCAATATCTAAAACATATAAAGAACTCGCACAAGTCAATAGCAGAAATAAAAATTACCAGATTTAAAAAATGGGCAAAAGACCTGAATGGACATTTCTCCAAAGAAAACATGAAAGTGGCCAAGAGGTATATGAAAAGGTGACCAATATCACTAATCATCAAGGAAATGCAAATCAAAACTACAATAAGACATCACATCACACCTGTTAAGATGGCTGTTATCAAAAAGACAAATGATGTGTTAGCAAGGGTGCGGGGAAAGGGAACTCTTGTACCCTGTTGGTGGGAATGTAGATTGGGGTAGCCAATGTGGATAACAGCCTGCTGTGAGCTACGGTCATGCCACTGCACTTCAGCCTGGGTGAGAGTGAGAGCCTCTCTCAAAAAAATAAAAATAAAAATAAAAATAAAAATAGAACTACCATATGACCCAGTAATCAATCCTTCTTTTGGGTATATACCCAAAAGAAATGAAATCATCACCTCATAAAGATACTTGCATTTCCACATTCATTGTAACACTATTCATGAGATGTTAACTATTCATGAAATGTAACTATTATAAGTTATTGCTGAGAATTTAAATGTCTATAACTTACAAAAATAATAAACAAATAAATAATTCCCTCCCCCCAAAAAAATAGCCAAGATAAGGAAACAATTTAAGTGTTCATTGACAGACAAATGGATACAGAAACTATGGAACTATGGTATATATATACATACATGCTGGAACATTAGCTTTAGAGATCTAACTACAAGATGAGGACTGTAGTTAATAATATTGTACTGTAATCAGGAGTTTTGCTAAATGAGTAGATTTTAGCTGCTTTTGCCACAAAAAATAATTTGAGATGATAGATATGTTGATTTGATTCACTGTAGTAACCATTTTACTATCTACGTGTAACTCATAACATCTTATTGTATAACTTAAATATATACAATATATAATAACATTTATCTTTAAAAAAAAGAAGAAAGATAACAAGTGCTGGCAAGGGTGTAGCAAAAAGAGACCCCAGTATACTGTTGTCAGTGGGAATGTAAATTAGTGCAGCCATCATGAAAAACAGTATAGGCGTTCCTCAAAAATGTTTAAACAGAACTAAAATATTATCCAGAAATCCCACTACTGGGTATATATCCAAAGGAAATGCAATCAGCATCTCACAGAGACATCTACACTCCTATGTTTATTGTGGCATTATTCACAAGAGCGAAGATATGGAAATAACTTAAGTGTCTACTGATGGATGAATCGATAAACCAATTGTGGTACATATATACAATGGAATGTATTCAGAACTTAATAAGGAGATCCTGACATGTGACAGCATGGATGAACCCGGAGGACATTATGCTAAGTGAAACAAGCCAGACACAGAAAGGAAAATAACTTCCTGATCTCACTCATACGTAGGATCTACAAAAGTCAGACACATAGAAAGTAGTTTCCAGAGAGGGGAAAATGTAGGTCAAAGTTGTAGTTATGCAGGATGAATAAATTTAGAAATCTAATGTACAGCATGAGGACTACAGTTAATAATAGTGTGGTGTATACTGGAAATTTGTTAAGAGAGTGAATTTTAGGGGCTCTTACCACACTCACAAAAAATGGCTAACTGTGAGATGATGGATGTTAATTGGTGTGACTGTATAATCATTTCACTATGTATATGTAGATCAAAACATTATGTTGTACCTTAAATATATACAATAAAAATTAATTTAAAAAAAGGCAAATCAGTAGAGACATGACAACCAAACTCAATGCAAGGTCTTTGATTGGATCCTGATAGAAAAAAATACAGAAGCAAACCAAAACCAGCTATAAAGAACTAATTTAAATATGGACCATGATTAAATATATATTATTATATTAATGTTAAATTTTTTTAGTGATAATTACATATCTATATATATGTAATTTTTTTTTTTTTTGAGACAGGATTTTACTCTTGTTGCCCAGGCTGGAGTACAATGGCGCAATCTTGGCTCACTGCAACCTCTACCTTCTGGGTTCAAGCAATTCTCTCGCCTCAGCCTCCCAAGCAGCTGGGATTACAGGCACACACCACCAAGTCCAGCTAATTTTTGTATTTTTAGTAGAGATGGGGTTTCACCATGTTGGCCAGGATGGTCTCAAACTCCTGACCTCAGGTGATCCATCCACCTCGGCCTCCCAAAGTACTGGGATTATAGGCATGAGCCACCATGCCCGGCCCAATATTGTGCTTATGAAGTATTAAAGGAGAGGTGTTAAGATGTCTACAGCTTTCAAATGATTCAGAAAAGAAAAACACATAGGTATAGAAAAAGAGAAAGCATACATAGCAAAATTTTTTTTTTTTTTTTTTTTTGAGACGGAGTCTCGCTCTGTCGCCCAGGCTGGAGTACAGTGGCGCAATCTTGGCTCCTTGCAAGTTCCACCTCCTAGGTTCACGTCATTCTCCTGCCTCAGCCTCCCGAGTAGCTGGGACTACAGGCACCCGCCACCATGCCCGGTTAATTTTCTGTACTTTTAGTAGAGATGGGGTTTCACTGTTTTAGCTAGGATGGTCTCGATCTCCTGACCTCGTGATCCACCCTCCTCGGCCTCCCGAAGTGCTGGGATTACAGGTGTGAGCCACTGCACCCGGCCAAAATTGTTAATAAATTAGTGATGTGAATAAAGACTATTATACTATTATAGTATATATTTGATTATTATATGAACTATAAAATTCATTCTTTCAACTTTTCTTTAGGTTTGAAATTTTGGAAAATAAAAAGTTGGAGGAAAAATGTACACCAGTAAGCAGAACTTGTAACATGATAGAACCCTTCTGTCTCCCAAGGCCTCAGCAGCACTAAACAGTTCCAGGGCACACACCTTTGTGGTGAATAGGGCATCTACATCATTCCAGGCTCGAAGCTTGGCACGAGCAGCCAGGGCTGTCAGCACATACTGTTTGTCTGGGATCTGGAAAGCAGAGACCAAGAAAAATTAAGGGGAAGTAGAAATACATCAGTGGGGGTGCTTGAGAATTTTAGAAAAGACAGACATTAAATATTTCCTGATATTGACTCTGCTCTTAAAATCAAAACATTTCTCAGTTCAAGAACTTCTTAATTCCCAAGCCCCACCACTGCTATAGGGCATTCAGTCTTCTCTCACTTTCCCAAACTCATTCCTTTCCACCTTCAACCTTGAATATCAAAGGACATACTGTACAGGGTTACAAAGCAACATCCACTCCATGTAGTTACCCTGATCACTCCTTTCATAACACTGACCAATTTGTATCTACCTTAAATGTCTTCTTCAGGTTGACGGGACTGCTGAATGTCCCCTAGGATGAAAGCGAAAAAGGAACTTTAGTGATATTGACTTTCCCATGTACCACCCAAGCTCTCATTTTCTCTCCCACTACAGAGACTTTCTACATCTTACTCTGTTGCCATTTAAACACAGAAGTTAATTTCAGAGAAAAGCTCCATTGGGAATAGTCAGATACCACTATAAGCTGGCTTATCGGGAACTGGATTAATAAGTATGGTGCTTTTTCCCATTTTCTGCTAATCCAAATAATGGGAAAATGTCTGCCTGTTATCATGGAATCCAAACTTCTTCGAAAAATTTAGAAAGAAAAAGGAACGGCCGGGCGCGGTGGCTCACGCCTATAATCCCAGCACTTTGGGAGGCCAAGGCAGGTGGATCATGAGGTCAGTTCAAGACCAGCTTGGCCAACATGGTGAAACCCCATATGTACTAAAAATACAAAAAAAAATTAGCCAGGAGTAGTGGCACACACCTGTAATCCCAGCTACTCAGGAGGCTGAGGCAGGAGAATTGCTTGAACCTGGGAGGCGGAGGTTACAGTGAGCCAAGATCATACCACTGTGCTCCAGCCTGGGTGACAGAGCAAGACTCCATCTCAGAAAAAAAAAAAAAAGTATCCACAGCTACTTGCTACCCTGCTGCTCTTCTCCACACCATGCTAATCCATTTGAAATCACGGACCTTTGAACAGAGACTTCTACAGGTAACAGCACCAGGGATAGAACTTGCTATGCTAGCATGCCAGCTCACTTGAAGCCACAAACCTTACAAACCTCTTCCCTCCTGGCCAGATGAGACCCTCTTATCCCTGGTGAGGGCCAGGAAAGCTTCCAGGTGGATTTCTGAGAACTATACATACCCATTATTAATGGAGTACATAAAAGTACTGGATTTGAACTATGTTTTTTGTGGAATCTTCCATATTTTGCCTGTACCTCAGCCTCCGTGTAGTGATAGAAGCAGGAGTAGAAAAGCGTTGTCACTAGTGGCATGTTGAGGATGGAAGCTTTGCGGGGGTGCTTTCGGAAGATCTCAGTCTGTCCTGCTGATTCTAGATGGCGATCGTTTGCCTATGGTAGAGTGAGCCAAGTAAAAAACAAAACAAAACAAAACAAAAAAACAAAAACAACAACAACAAAAAACAATGTCCATGGAGTAGAGGCAGGAGAAAAGTCTTTTAATATTACAGCAGTTGTGTTTCCCACCCGAGGAGTGAAAACAAAGAAGAGAAAAAGAAAGAAATTGCCTAGGAGATCCCCAGGGTAGTTTAAAATCCATAAAGTGATCATGGATCCATGTTGGATGGAAACAAATAGAAGTGGTGATGACATGGGAGATTTGGGATGAAGAAGAAATACTTCCAGGTTAACAGCTGGTAAGAGGAAAAAGGATCCTAAAAACAATGGAGGAAGGGGGCTATTGTATAGAGGCAGAAAATGAAAGGCTTTTAGAAACCAACAAGAAATGACCCACGTGCAGAGTATAGAAATCTCCTAGATGCTGAATGGCACTGAGCCTTGGCACTGACGCAGAAGATGTGGAGATGAGGAGTCTAACCTCAATAATGATCTGGCGTTCCAGGAGCGTGTAATGGTCCTGTATGTGTGCAGAATCTTCTGCTGAAAATGGCAAGCTGGTAGAGTGCCAGAAGGTTAGTATTTTTCTCTATTCGAAAAAGGAAACAAACCCAACTAAACCAAATCACCAGCATAAGTATAAGAGGCTCATGGTGCCTCACAAGTCTGATCTCAGTTCACCTTTAGAGCGTCCCTTAGAGGAAGAAAGACATAGCATGAATGGCGTGAATTTCATATTAAAGGTTTTGCCAATTCAAGAGGGATCCTGAAAGTCCACAAAATACTTATAGTCACTCATAATTTTGCTGATAAATGAATTAGGATCTTCTCATTTTGGAAGCTGGAATATTTGGTGAACCAGTCACAAAGCTAATGAGTGAGCCTAGGCAACTGCCCATCATCCACATCCCAGTGAAATTCTGTGGCTTGTGCTTAACTTACTAAGAGGACACCTAGATTTGTTAGCCATTATTTTATTGCAGAGTACAAAGGGCAAATTAAATTACATGGCATGGTGGTATGTTTATAGATTGACAAATATCACAAATGTCAAGGGTCCTATCTTCAACACTGCATTATGCTTTTTGTTTGTTTTGAGATGGAGTCTCTCTGTGTCGCCCAGGCTGGAGTGCCGTGGAGTGATCTTGGCTCACTACAATCTCCACCTCCTGGGTTCAAGCAATTCACCTGCCTCAGCCTCCTGAGTAGCTGGGACTACAGGCGCATGCTGCCACACCCAGCTAATTTTTGTATTTTTAGTAGAGACGGGGTTTCACCATGTTGGTCAGGATGGTCTTGATCTCCTAACCTTGTGATCTACCCACCTCAACCTCCCAAAGTGCTGGGATTACAGGCGTGAGCCGCCACACCCGGCCGCATTATTGTTATACATGAAGATGCTAAGGGATAGCATCTTGCCAAAAAGTTATGTGGTCAGTCAATGGGGAAGGCCAGGAACAGAAGTCAGATTTTAAATGCCCAGTTCACAGGTCTATCTTTTAAAAAGTACTGCATTATTCCCCGTACTCTGCGCACTCCAGGAAGAACTCTGAGTTTTAATTGCACTATTCCAGATAAGTTTTAGCCACAGTGAATTTTTAGAAGAGATAAATTAGAGAGATGCTTTAAATTCTAGTTACTTCACTATTTTAACTTTTCTCCTTGTTTTCCAGAGGCCATATAACATATCTCAGTATTTGGTAACATTAAATGGATTTCACTGATATAATCGAATTTCTAAACTTGAAGCCAGGAAATCATGTCACACGAGGAATGGTTGAAACAACCATGAGCGCTGAACCTAAAGAAGCAAGGACTACTTGGGAGACGCTATACCTGTCTCGAAAGATACAGGGAAGCAAGTTTCAGCTTAACATAAGGAAGCACTTTCCAACAATGAAGGTTGTTCAAAAACAAACTGAGCTGTTTCAAGAGCAACGGGCACCCTGTCACAGGAATATGCAGAGATGGGTTTTGTAATAATTTAAATTCTGGATGAAAGCTTGCCCTGGATCAGTGGTTCTTGGACTTTGGGGTTTCAAGGACCAGTAACACTGAAAAAAATGCATCAGGTCCCTAAAGTATTCTATCTTTTTATTACCTAAGGTCACAAAAAAAAAGGTACAACGCATTTTGGTACCAAATAAGAGGAAAAAAGTGAGGACAATAAAAGATAACATTTCAAATTAAATAAATTTGGCTTTGGGAAAAAAATCTCTTTACATTTGTCTTTTTTTTTTTTCTCGGTTTACCACTAAGCAGTGGAAACTCTGCTGGGGACTAGTGTGTGAACACCACTGCATGAGGTGACCCTGAATGATGCTGGTATGATTCATTGTTAGCCCTTCGCTTCCTGCCTATCCATTCCACCCTTTTTAATTTTCTTCATTCCTTCTGGGTAAAGGTATTGATACTTAAAATCATTTCTCCCCCATACTTACCCAATACAGGTCTTAAGAAATTCTTTTCGTTTGTCAGGGTCCTGAATGTTCAAATGCTCTCGATAATGAGATAGCTACAAAAAGCAGAAAAAGGCTTTGAGGTATTTTGTCTACTTAGATGAGGGAGCTAGCTAAATAACTGAACTTCCCATGCTTTAAAAAAAAACAAATTCTTCATTTCTTGGTATAAATGGTTATGGGGGGCGGGCAGGGGGATAGGCAAAGAGTGACTACATATCATTAGTAGGTTTATCTATAACTGCACTGTACAATACAATAGCCACTAGCTACAACTGTTTCTTTAAATTTAAATTAATTAAAGTAGAAATTCACCTCCTTAGTTAACACTAGCTACTTTTAAAGAACTCAATAGCTACATGTGACCAGGGCTACTATATTGGACAACATAAATATGTATATTTTTTTTTTTTGAGATGGAGTCTCGCTTTTGTTGCCCAGGCTGGAGTGCAATGGCACAATCTCAGCTTCTTGCAACCTCTGCCTCCCGGGTTCAAGTGATTCTCCTGCCTCAGCCTCCCGAGTAGCTGGGATTACAAGCACCCACCACCATGCCTGGCTAATTTTTGTATTTTTAGTAGAGGCACAGTTTCACCATCATGGTCTCGAACTCTTGACCTCAGGTGACCCGCCCCACCTTGGTCTCCCAATGTGCTGGGATTACAGGTGTGAGCCACCGCGCCCGACCCAAATATGGAATATTTCTATAATCGTAGAAAGTTCTATTGGCCAGTGCTGATCTATATAATGAAGCACTGAGTAGATACAGTACTGAGCTTTACCTTTAAGTTTCACTTTAGCCTCAGTATTTAACCGAAAATGAATATTTTGCTTCAGATTTAGATTTTGAAAAGTCAAAGAGCTAAATGCGTATTTCAGTGTTATTTTTGGCACCCTTGACCACGTACATGATCAATGGTAGTATGATCATGTCAACATCTAACAATTAGCATCAGTAATATAAATAGGGCATGTCATTCTGACTCACTGTTCATAAATATTCACAGATTGAGCCAACAGCTGTATATAAAAATGTAAATGTAAAAATGTAAATAAGACAGAATAACAGAAATTATATATCATAATCCAATCTTTGTAAAACATTTCATATAAAATAGTTGGTGTACAATCATTCCTAATATTAAAGAAAGTAATCTTTAAGAGGTATAGTTAATTTTTTGTTATTCAATTCCATTTCAGCCTTAGGTCTTTCAAGAAAAGTTCTTCTTGGGAAACCTTCATATTCTGTGGACATACACTAAAAGTGTACTATCAGCCTTGCCACTTCCAAAGTTTACAAGGTTGAAAAATTCAAAATCTATATACAACAACATGCATGATAAATCATCTTCAATTCAAACATGAGTATAAAGAAAATAAAGTTTTAGATTAAAATGAGTTACCCAAAACACATTTATTCTCACTAATCAAATTCAAAACAAAAAGTTTATAAGAATGCTGTAAGAAGAAAAATCCTTATAGTTTTGAACTTACAGAGATTTAAAAATATAAACAGCTTTTCAGTGATTACTACAGGCTACCAATCATTTTCAGTTGATTAAGAAAAAGGATTTTTCAGATTGTCTCATGCTTTGAATATGAAGTACAAGTTCCTTTCAGAAAACATGTTACTGAGCCAGGTGAGATGGTTCACATCTGTAATCCTAAAACTTTGGAAGGCCAAGGTGGGAGGACAGCTTGAAGCTAGGAGTTTGAGACCAGCCTGGCAAACAGAGACCCCCATCTCTACAAAAAGATTTTAAAAAATTAGTCAGGTGTGGTCATGTGCACCTGTAATCTCAGCTACTTGGGAGCCTGAGGCTTGAACCAGGAATTGGGAGTCTGCAGTAAACTATATGTAAAATACATGATCATGCACCACTGTACTCCAGCCTGTCTCAAAACAAAAACAAAAACAAAAACAAAAAAAACCCATGTTTCTGAAAAGCATTTTCAGTATTATATTGTAATTATGCTGTTCAAAGGTTAATAATACTTAATGTGCCAACTGAATGTGTTGTACAGTAACTAAAAAAGCAATCCTGCCATCAACAGTGCTGAGAAATCCTTTTTTTGAGACAAGGTCTCATTCTTTCGCCCAGACATGACCTCCCAGACTTAAGCAATCCTCCCACCTCAGCTTCCCAGGTAGCTGGAACTACAAGCGTGCGCCACCATGCTTTACTAATTTTTACAATTTTTTTAGAGATGGGATCTCGGCCGGGCGCGGTGGCTCACGCCTGTAATCCCAGCACTTTGGGAGGCCGAGACGGGTGGATCACGAGGTCAGGAGATCGAGACCATCCTGGCTAACACGGTGAAACCCCGTCTCTACTAAGAAATACAAAAATCTAGCCGGGCGAGGTGGCGGGCGCCTGTAGTCCCAGCTACTCGGGAGGCTAAGGCAGGAGAATGGCGGGAACCCGGGAGGCGGAGCTTGCAGTGAGCTGAGATCCGGCCACAGCACTCCAGCCTGGGCGACAGAGCAAGACTCCGTCTCAAAAAACAAAAAAAAAAAAAAAAAAAAGAGATGGGATCTCACTATGTTGCCCAGGCTAGTCTCCAACTCCTGGACTCTAGTGTTCCTCCCACCTCAGCCTCCCAAGTGCTGGCATTACAGGCATAAGCCACCATGCTTGGCTAGAAATTCTTATAGCTGCATTATAATGACAAGTTTTTTTTTTTTTTTTTTAACATGAATTGCTGAAGTTTTAATAATACAATTGAGTTTTTGGTAAAATTTCAGATTTATTCTTATATTCCAGGAGTTCATTCTATGATTGTGAAAATCTGCCAAAATTCAATCTTAAGTGTTAACACTTGGCCATTGAATTCTCAGCCAAAACATGGTGGGTGTTTCATCAACTTGACCTATCTTCTTTCTTGACCCATATCTGATTTCTTAGCCTCTTAGCCTTCAACATTTTCTTTGTGAGAAGCCAAAACCCCAAAACTCCTACCAACCAGGACCTGAAAACAACTGAAAAACAAATTACAAATTGACCAGGCCAATTTTCACATATTTATTTTTTAAAACTTATTCATAAGCCCAACCGAAAGAGCATATAAAAAGAAAAATACATCATTCAGATTAAGTTTTCAGGTTTTCCAGGTGCCTCTCTCTTCTGTATATAATCAATATCAAAGAAAATAGCTCAATCAGTCTGGGATCTTGGAGGCTGAGGTTTGGCTTAGATTTCTGGGTTTGTTTCTTTTCTGAGACAGAGTGTCGCTCTATCACCCAGGCTGAAGTGCAATGGCATGATCTCAGCTCACTGCAACCTCCCCATCCCAGGTTATAGAAATTCTCCTGCCTCAGCCTCCCAAGCAGCTGGGATTACAGGCGTGCGCCACCACACTCGGCTGATTTTTGTATTTTTAGTAGAGACAGGGTTTCGCCATGTTGGCCAGGCTGGTCTTGAACTCCTGACCTCAGGTGATCCGACCACCTCAGCCTCCCAAAATGCTGGGATTACGGGCGTGAGCCACCGTGCCCAGCCTAGATTTCTGTTAAACTGGTCCCCAACTGAAACAAAGGCCACACTTACCGCCAGCTCTTCTGTTCTATCTAGGAACCTGGGAAGAAGCAGAAGGGAGCAGGGCATTTGTATCTATTGATGTGTGGCAGTATAACCTCACAAAATAGAGTGCCTCCTCTAGGAGAAACACAGTTCAGACTCATTTCCCTCTATACACAAGATAAATGGTTGATCAGGTATCATTGTTCCCCTGGTCTCTCTGGCTGATCAAAAAGCAAGGACAAGAAGGTATTGCAAGGAACTAATAACTTTGTTAACAGGTCTGACAGGGAAGCTCAGAGCCACCTACTCGGGCCCACAGAAAACTTGGTTGTTTTTTTGTTTTCCCTAAGATTAAAGCACTATTCTCTGTCCATACAATCTTGAAAACATATTTTCTATAGTGTTCTTTACTGTTTTCACGGACAGAGTACAATGTGTTTTGCCTCCCCCAAAGGCTTAGGTAAAACCCTGGAGCACCAGGACTTTTGTCTTCTGATTCTTCTTTACTCTGAATAGACCACCATAATTAACATTACCATTTTGGCTTGGAGGTGATGCCTGATAAAGCCTTGTTCGTTGGGAAAGAGGAAAGGAGGGAAGGAGGAAGGGAGGAAGCAGCCAGCCTCTGTGACCATGTCTTCTTTTACAAATTTCTGGCTAACACCTGTAATCTTGACCCTAACCAGGTAACCTGCTTTTCCCCACCTCAGTCTTCTGGGGAGCTCATTGCTGTGCTGGAGTCACTGGGTAATCAGAGTCACCTTGGGCCACATGTCAGTCTAAATGAGGTTCTAACCATTTCCCTGACACTGAAGAAAGGACATCATGTGCACATATTTTAATCCAAAGGTGGGAAATAGTCCCTACTGACTGGAATTAGAGGGAAGAAACACATGATAAAAGACCTTAGACCTCTTTACCCCCAGCAGATATGCCTTCTCTCACCAATCAGAATCCTACCTAGTTTTATAGGCCCATGCAAATCTAATCACTTCCATGAGGCTTCACCTGGGTATCCTGACTGAAAATATTTCCTCCTTCTCTTCTACTGTACTTCCCACTGGTATCACTTAGAAATCAGTAATAAAAGATGCCTTTATTCTACATCTTTTTTAATAAAAACATAGATATTAATACTACAAACTAGGTATTAGGCTAAGTGCTGGCTCACACACTACCCCTTCATCTTCATAATAACCCTGTGCGTAGGTGTCATCATCTCCATGTGAGAGATGTGAAAACCTCACGAAGAGGGCTGATAACTTGGCCAAGGTCACTCTATGAATGATGTGGGAGATCTGTAATAGCATTCAACCCAAGTGCGTGTGACTCCAAAGCCTGGTTCTTAACCAGCTTGCACCTTCTCATAAGCTGTGCTGTGCTGCTAGTTATCTCCTCACACTTCAATAGCTTGTCGGGCAGTTGGTGTCTTCTGTTCCTTCATATCCCTCAGAGTGCTTTGAAACAAGTACTTACTCAACTTTATAGACCAGACGATCGGTTCTTACCTGAAGAGGTCTAAAAGCAGCTTTTGATCCCCTATTTCCTTAAGGAAGTGAATAAGATGTCTCAGGGCAACCTGTCGCACCTCCAGCTCTCGGAAGAGGATCTCTGTCAGACAGTCAGGATTTAGGTTGAGAAAGATTAAAGCCTATTAGTCAAGTGTGAAATTGGTCTCCCTACTCACACATTCCAAACAATATCTCATCAAAGCCTAACAAAACTAAGAATGGTTTACCCCTACGTCTTAATTCACCATCAACACACTCTATGGTCTTGGGCAGCTCATAGCCATTGAGTCAGCTTTGCATTTCACACCAACCCAAACAGCAGGCACTTAGCATGGATTCTGACTTCTTCAAACCAACACAGCCATCTGAGGGGGCTCTGTGGTTAATGTAGTCATCACCCTAACGGATGCCCCCAGAGATGTGATGTGTGCTCTGAAGTCTCAGGCCACCCCAGTTGTCTCTGAAATAGACTTGACTAATGAATTCTGGTATGAAAGGCACATGGCATTCTCCCCTCGAATGTGGCAGACACCTTGCTGACTGAAGATTTCCTGCAAGTCATTCTCACCTTTGCTCAGTGTCCTCTTCAGGAAAATCAGAACCTACGGGAGAAAAGAACAAAGACTGTGCAAACTTTCCAACACAGAGTCGTGCCCTGAGCACTACAGACACAGGGCCAGCAACTCATTAGCAATCTCTGCAGGTACAGCCACCAGCTCTGTATGTGATGGAAGGAAAGCCAATGGATATCTGGAACTGAGCTGTGTCTTGGGAGACCACATGCCCGTGCCCATGCTGCTGAGAGACACCTCCCTCTGAAAGAGGATATGCTCACACCTCTCCTCCCTGAGATTGTTTCATATAACACACAGTAGCCAACCTTCTGTGTCTTGGTTACAATCCAGGGTTTCACATAGGCTGGGCATGGTGACTCATGCCCATAGTTCCAACACTTTGGGAGGCTGAGGCAGGGAGATTACTTGAGCCCAGGAGTGTGAGATCAGCTTGGGCAACATAGCGAGACCCTGTCTCTACAAAAACATTTAAAAATTAGCCAGGCAAGGCCAAGCGCAGTGGCTCACGCCTATAATCCCAGCTCTTTGGGAGGCCGAGGCTGGTGGATCACCTGAGGTCAGGAGTTTGAGACCAGCCCAGCCAACGTGGTGAAACCCTGTATCTACTAAAAATACAAAAATTAGCCTGGCGTGGTGGCCCACGCCTGTAATCCCAGCTACTTGGGAGGCTGAGGCAGGAGTATCGCGCAGTGAGCTGAGATTGTGCCACTGCACACTAGCCTGGGTGACAGAGTGACACTCCGTCTCAAAAAAACAAACAAACAAACAAAAAAAACTAGCCAGCCATAGTGGTATGCACCTGTGGTCCCAGCTACTCGGGGAGCTGAGGTGAGAGGATCACTTGAGCTCAGGAGGTCAAGGCTACAGCGAGCCATGATCACACCACTGCACTTCAACCTGGGCGACAGAGCAAGACCCTGTCTCCAAAAAAAAAAGCAAAACAAACAAACAAAAAACACAGGGTTCCACACTTAGTGCATGTGTCACCAGCTAAGCCCTTAAAGCACAGATTACTTAGAATCCTACACCTCCAAGGGGAATCCAGGATCTTTACTTAACATTTAACACGAAATGTTAGTCTGTTTGATTGGATTTTCAGAAACTAGTGAAAACAATAATTAAACAAACAACAACAAATTTGACAACTCACGGCCGTAATGACGTTTCCGTCATGCATGCTTACTGCCTCTTCTAGGAGTTGTAGTTTGTCCTGTAAGGAGCGGAATCTCTCTAGTGAGCAGACCTGGCAGAATAACACTAGAATTAGCACAAAAGAAGACAGTTTTCCTTATTCCTTTGTCGCTGGACACTAAAGAATGAGCAATAATGAAACAAAATGTCCCCAAGGAGAGTCTCTTTATTTTTACACTAGGGTCCCCATAACTTATAAAACAGTAGGTTCCCACCACCCTCTCTAGTTCTAGTTCAGCCTGCTGCCCTACAAGAAGCCAATGTCCCGAAGTCTTGATAAAGTCAACAGAAATCACTTGTTCTTTTTAAAGAACCCTTACATCATAATTTGCATACAGTAGAATGTACCCTATTTAAGTATATAGTTCAGTGATTTTTTTTTTTTTTTTTTTGAGACGGAGTCTCGCTCTGTCGCCCAGGCTGGAGTGCAGTGGCCGGATCTCAGCTCACTGCAAGCCCCACTTCTGGGTTCACCCATTCTCCTGCCTCAGTCTCCCGAGTAGCTGGGACTACAGGCGCCCGTCACCATATCCAGCTAATTTTTTTGTATTTTTAGTAGAGATGGGGTTTCACCACGGATCTCCTGACCTTGTGATCCGACAGCCTCGGCCTCCCAAAGTGCTGGGATTACAGGTGTGAGCCACCGTGCCTGGCCAGTATCTCATAGTTTCAACTCACATTTTCTTGATAACTATAATTTTAAGTATATTTTAAAATGATTATTGGTCATTCATGAATCTTCTTTTGTGATGTGTCTGGTCAACTCTTGTGCCAATTTTTTATCAGACTGTCTATTTACCACGGAGCTAAGAGTTTTATCTTTTTTTTCTTTTTTTTGAGACAGGGTCTCACTGTATTGCCCAGGCTGGAGGGCAGTGGTATGATCATGGCTCAGTGCAGCCTCAACTTCCTGGGCTCAAGCAATCCTTCCACCTCAAGCCTCCTAAGTAGCTGGGACCATAGGTGAGTACCACCACACCTGGCTAATTTTTATTTTGTAATGATGGGACCTTGCTATATTGCCAGGTTTAATAAAAGTTTTATATATATTCAGGCCAAGTGCAGTGGCTCAGGCCTATAATCCCACACTTTTGGAGGCCAAGGCAGGCAGATCACCTAAGGTCAGGAGTTTGAGACCAGTCTGGCCAACATGGTGAAACCTCATCTCTACTAAAAATACAAAAATTAGCCGGGCATGGTGGCACACAACTGTAATCCCAGCTACTCAGGAGGCTGAGGCAGGAGAATCACTTGAACCTGGGAGGCAGAGGTTGCAGTGAGCTGAGATCGCGCCACTGCACTCCAGTCTGGGTGAAAGAGGGAGACTCCATCTCAAAAAAAAAAAAAAAAGAAAAGAAAAGTTTTATATATATTCTGGATGAAAGTCCCTTATAATACATGTGTTTTGAAACTACTTTCTCTGAGTTATGGTGGTCTTTTCATGGTTTTAACAGTGGTTTCTAAAAAATAAAAGTTTTAAATTTTGATGAAGTTCATTTTATCAATTTTTTCATTTATAGTTCATGCTTTTTGTGTCCTATGTAATAAATCTTTGCCTAAGCCAAGATCATAAAGATTTTCATCTATATTTTCTTCTAGAAGTTTTATAGTTTTAACACTTAATTTACATTTAGGTCTATGATCCATTTTTTAAATTTATTTTTTCATTCCCAATCCTTAGAACCTGTGAAGTATGATCCATTTTATCCGTTCTTTTTGAGAGACAGGGTTCCGCTCTCTCGCCCAGGTTGGAGCGCAGTGATGCAGTCATAGCTCACTGCAGCCTCAACCTCCTGGGCTCAATTGATCTTCCTGCCTCAGCCTCCTGAGTAGCTGGGATTACAGGCGCAAGCCACCACACCTGGCACTATGATCCATTTTGATCCATTAATTATTATGATCATTGCCAATTCTACCAAAATTGATCTGTACATTCAAGGCAATCCCAATCAAAATCTCAGCAACTCTTTTGTAGACACTGCCAAGCTGCTGCTAAAATCGATATGGAAGTATAAGGGATCTAGAATAGCCAAAACAAGAGAAGAAAAAAGTTGACAGTTGAGAGCTTCAACAAAGTTGAAGTGTCTTGATTTCAAGATTTAGACAATAATCAAGACTGTAGTATTAGCTTAAGAATAATCCAATGAACTAGAATAAAGAGTCCAGAAATAGGACTATATATATATGATCATTAATTTTCTTATTTTTTTCTTCTTGAGACAGGGTCTTGCTCTGTCGCCTAAGCTGGAATGGAGTGGCACAATCTCAGCTCATTGCAGCCTCGACCGTCAGGGCTCAAGCAATCCTTTCATCAAGTAACTGTGACTAAAAACATATCCTGCTATAAAATGATAAATTATATTTATATATTTATAATTACAAATTATATTTATATATTTATAATTATAAATTATAATATACATTTATATCATAAATTAGTCACACCTGGGTTTTTTTGGCTTTTTTTGAGACGGAGTTTTGCTCTTGTTGCCCAGGCTGGAGTGCAATGGCGCAATCTCAGCTCACCACAACCTCGACCTCCTGGGTTCAAGCGATTCTCCTGCCTCTGCCTCCTGAGAAGCTGGGATTACAGGCATGTGCCACCATGCCTGGCTAATTTTGTATTTCTAGTAGAGACAGGGTTTCTCCATGTTGGTCAGGCCAGTCTCAAACTCCCAATCTCAGGTGATCCGACTGCCTTGGCCTCCCAAAGTGCTGGGATTACAGGCGTGAGCCACCACGCCCGGCCAAATACCTGGCTAATTTTTTTTTATCTTTTGTAGAGACACGGTCTCACTATGTTGTCCAGGCTAGTCTTGAACTTCTGGGCTCAACAGATCCTCCCGCCTTGGCCTCCCCAAGTTCTGGGATTACAGGCGTGGGCCACTGCGACTGGCCCGATTTTCAACAAAGGCATCAGCAGGATAATTCAAAGGGGAAAGGATAGTTTTTTCAACAAATAGTGCTGGAACAAATGGCGATCTATATGGGGAAAACAATGAAACTCAAACCCTTACATCACACTATATGCAAACATGAACTGAATGAATCACAGATCCAACATAAAAGATTGTTCTCACTCTTTTTTTGGGGGGTGGGGGAAGTGGAGTTTCACTTTTGTCACCCAGGTTGGAGAGCAGTGGCACGATCTCAGCTTACTACAACCTCTGCCTCCCAGGTTCAAGTGATTCTCCTGCC